AGACAAACAAAAGAAAGGTGACTATTATGTTAACTTTAGACAAGCTGCGCTTCATAGCAATGAAAGTTACCAGAGCTAAACCGCGGTATTACAAGGACAGTGAGACGGCTCAACGGTAAAGGCACTTGAGTTCAGTCCCGGGACTCACTTGATTGATGGAGGGCCAGACTGAGTCCAGCCAGCTGTCCTCTTACCTCCACACATGCGCTATAGTGCGTACAACACAAATACAAGAAAGAAATGAATGTTTTCAAACTTTAAAAAATAGGATATAATGGGGCTGGAGAGATGGCTCAGCAGTTAAAAGCATTGACTGTTCTTCCAGAGGTCCCGGGTTCAATTCCCAGCACCCACATGGCAGCTCAACAGGTATCTACAACTCCAGTTCCAGGGAATACAACACACTTAGACAGACACCAGTGCACATAAAATTAATTAATTAATTAATTAAAGACATTATATGGTGAATGAAAGGTTCTCTAACAGGCCCAAGCATGGCAAACATGGAGTTGGCTGGTCTCACCCTTCCCCACTCCCCTCTCCCTGGCTAAAAGCCCTTAGATTACATTCCTAAAGCTAGTGACCAAGGTCTGCTCCTTTATTTGGCCACTTTCTCAAGCCTTATGAAAATTCCAAGGTTCAGCTACCAAAACACCAAGGTCCTGCAACTCCTTGTTTGGCTGCACTGGCTAACAAGTTTAGTCAGGACTTCGCAGCTCATCCCAGCACAGATTTGCCCTTTTCTCCTTAAAATCACTGCTGCAGATACACCTGCTACTGTCTTTGCCCGATCCAAAACCAACACCCCCATCCACCTCTTCCCCCACGTCCTCCAGCAAATTGTCCCTCCAGGGTAATATAATCTCCACTGTGTTGAGAATTTGGGACCTGAGTGCATGATCTGTGCCAAACCCCAGGCCCCTTTTAGGGATGAATGAGTGAGTTCTCTAAGAAGACAATAAGTGTGTCTGTGTCTACTGGCAGAGCTCCAGAATACACGAAGCAAAAGCTGTCAGAATTGAAAATAGACAATCTTCAAAACAGTCATTTTAATATAATATTAATACATTTATTAAATCTTTGAGAATTTCTTACAATGTATTTTGATCATATTCCGCCTCACTCCTCCCTTAACTTTTCCCAGCTCCACCCCCACCATCCTAAATGCTCTCAACTTCATAATCTCTCTCTCTCTCTCTCTCTCTCTCTCTCTCTCTCTCTCTCTCTCTCTCTCTCTCTCTCTCTCTCTGCCCATGTCCAGTTTGTGCTGCCTGTGTACTCACAAGTGTGGACCATTCAGTAGAACGTGTTCAGCTTCCAAGGAGCCACACCATTAAAGAACACTTACTTGCCAGGCATCGGTGGCACACGCCTTTAATCCCAGCACTCGAGAGGCAGAAGCAGGAGGATCTCTGTGAGTTCGAGGCCAGCCTGGTCTACAGAGCGAGTTCCAGGACAGCCTCCAAAACAATACAGAGAAACACTGTCTCAAAAAAACAAACAAAAAGAAAGAACACTGAGCTCCTGAGTACCTCCCACTGACACATTTGAATTTGTGAAAGTTTTCTGCAGACAAATATAGCTGATGTAAGATTTTTGAGGTCCTGTCATATCCAGAAGATCTGGTCCAATCTGGTGCTCCCCAACCTCTGCCTGTTATAATTTTCCACCTCTTCTTCTGCAATGACCCTAAGACTTGGAGCAGAGTGATATAGATGTACCAACTCTGGGTGAGCGCTCGCTAGCATATATTGTCCGCATTTTGACCAGTTATGAGTTTGTGTGTTAACCACCATCCACTGCACAGAGAAACTCCTCTGATGAGGTCTGAGAGCTGCACTAATCTGTGGGAATAGAGACAAGAGTTTAGAGGCAGTTTGACACCATGACCATTTAGTAGAATGACAGTACTATGTTCATCCCTGGGGCCTGTGAGCACCCCGTCATTTGCTCTTGGTCAGATTGACAGCTCCAGGCATGAGTCTCCTCCAATCAGAAAGCTGCTGATAACTGCCATGACGTGCATACCACTACTGCAGCACTATTTCATACATGGCTACACCTGTCATTTTTGTAGTCCACAGGGTTCACAACTGGGCAAGACTGTTAATGATGCCTGCTCCCCCAGAAGCCTACACAGGACTTCCTGGTACCATAAAGCTAGTCAGCATGGAGGATATGATCATCCTTCAAAATATAATGGGCCCATTAATCCTAAAATCTTAGCTACAATCTCTCTCTGTGCCCTGGAGTTCAGATGGAGCGGAACGCCAAGTTCAGTACTGCGAGGCTTCGCCATTATCAGGGTTCTTGTTCAGATTGTAGATAAAATCAATGGTAATTTTCCAGCAATGTCTATTGAGGATATTCAGATAGTTTGTTACAGGCATGTGTTAATATTCATCCGTAAGCCATTCTCCTACTCTGGTGACAGTCTCCAGATTCTTTTTTTAGGAAGACTTACAATTAACCTAAAGTCAGTAAGTACATTTTATCCTCCTGATTGGTTAGAGATGGCCACACCCCCCAGCCAAAGCCAACGAAATACTGTAGAAAACAGATCCTTCTCTTCAATTTGGGGACTACCAAAAAGGACAATAATTATTTGGATAAATGGCGTGCCACGAGACTATGGTGAAAGACAGGCAGGCTGTAGCCTCTGTGACTGTATGAGACAGCTGAGAACCAGAGTGACATCTACACGGTGAGAGGCTGTGTGGAAGGAAAACAGAAAAGGAACTTGGTGACTTTGAGCTCTGGTTAAAGCATTTAAAAAAGGGGGAGGGGGACAACTCTGGTGTTTTCTGTTAGAAGGCAAAGAATAAATGTTACCTATTATTTTATTTTTTATATTTTAGGTGGGGTTAAAAGCTTATTATTATTATTTTGATTTTTCAAGACATGGTTTCTCTGTGTAGCCCTAGCTGTCCTGAAACTCGCTCTGTAGACCAAGATGCCGTCTTGGTCTTCCTGCCTCTGCCTCTGAGTGCTGGGATTAAAGGTGTGCGCCACCACTCCCAGCTAAGACATTCATCTTTATTGGCCTTTTTCTTACAATATATTTTGATCTTTCTCTCCCCCTCCCCCAACTTCTCTCAGATCCTCCCCACCTCCCTACTCACCCAACTTCATGTTTTCTCTCACAGAAAAAATAAATAAAACAGACAAAAAAATCAAATCAATAAAAAATGAAAAAAGCACACACACACTTGATATACCCAGTGACACTCCACTGGAGAAAAATGACTGGATTTCTCCCTTTTCCAGAAAGCACTAACTGCAAATAATGTCTTGGTTAGGGGTGGGATTTATATTCACTTCCCTGTCTCCTTGCTGGGATTTTGTCTGGCTTGAATTTTTGCAGGTCTTGTGAATGCTGTCAGAGTCTCTGTGAATCCATGTGTGCATAAATGCCATGGTGTTTAGAAGACACTGTTTCCTTGGAGTTACTCACCACCTCTGGCTCTTACAATCTTTCTGCCTCCTCTTCTGAGCCTTGAGGTGAGGGGTTTGATAGAGACATCCATGTAGGACTGAGTGCTCCAAAGCCACTGTTTGCACATTTTCCAGTTGTGGGTCTCTGTGTTAACTACCATATACTGTAAGAAGAATGTTTTCTGATGAGGGTTGAGTGAGACACTAATCTACAGTTATAGCAATGTTTAGTTAGTGTTTCTATTGCTATGAAGAGACACCGTGTGAAAGGTTCAGGCATTACACTGGTCTTCCCTGTTACCTGGTAGGATTCACTCAGGCAGCACTCTGGCCAGCCCAGAGTTCCATGAGAAGCAGTCTGAACGCAGGTGCAAAGGACCCCTTTAAAAGGACAGACCCCTGCCCACTTACTCTCTCGTCTTTCTCTATCTCATCCTCTCTCATCTTCCTCTCTCTCTCTCTCTCTCTCTCTGTCATGTCTGTCTCCCCCCTTTCAGTCTTGCTATAATAAACTATGATTAATATGCTCTCCATGGCTTGTGCATTAATATGCTCTCCATGGCTTGTGGTCTGTCCCTCGAGCCGGTCCTGGTTCTATAAATAACAACACCATGACCATGCAACTCTTATAAAGAAAGCATCTCACTGAGGCTGGCTTACAGTTCAGAGGTTTAGTCCACTGTCATCTAGCCAGAAGCATGGCAGCATGCAGTCAGACATGGTGCTGGAGAGGTAGCTGGGAGTTCTGCATCTGTATTGGCAGGCAGCAGGAAGAGAGAGACACCCACTGGGCCTGGCTTGAGCATTTGAAACCCTCAAAGTCCACCCTCCAGTGACACACTTCCTCCAAAAGGCCACACCTACTCCTGACAAGGAGACTTATCTTAATCCATTCTCTATAAGTCTGGGTGGGGAGCATTTTTATTCAAACCACCAAAAACAATATATCATTAGGATTCATTGTATTGCTATGTTCTTTTAACAGAATAATAGTAGTAGGTTTTCTCTTAGGGCCCATAATTTATGTACTCTCAGGTTCTTGGCCACTTTGGCAGTGTCAAAGTATAAGTGTCATCTCATGGAGTGGTCCTTGAATCAAAACAAAAAGTAGTTGATTACTCCCCTAACATTTGTGGCAGGAAGGTCTCTATTGTAGGTCTCAGTGTTTGTAGCTTGGTAGAATTAATAATTGCAGAGTACCTTGCAGCAACATGAACTCTGGTCAGTAGGAGTAAATCTTCTTGTTGAGGACTGGCTTGGTTTTTCCATGTTTAATGACATAAATGAGCAGTCTCTTCAACAACAGAACTTTACCACCAGTTATGGAGGGTAATTAATATCCTTAGCAATAGCTTGGGTGTTTGGGGGATCTATGGGACCACTTTAGCCAATGACTCAGCAAGATGTAACTTGTTACTGAATCTGGACATTTTATTTGGTAGTCCCATATGTTTGTTTTCCTGCCTTGTTTGAGGCACTTACAACATAGAGTCCTAATGCTGCTTATCCTTCTCTCAAGCCCAACTGTTTCTCCAGAAATAAAAACAGAAGCAGTGCACAGCATGTAGTTGTACTTGTAATGTTGGAGTGGATCTTTATTTGTAGAAAATAACAATAAGCAAACACTTTGAAAGACAAAGCCTCCAGCATCCTTACCATAGGGGATCATCCAGAGCATAAACAAAGCAACATTTGCACAGTCATTTACTCTTTTTCTAAATCTTTAAAGTATTCCATTCAGTCAGTTTTCTCCTAAGGGGAAGTTTACCACTGTGAGCCCCTTGAAGCTCTTATAATTTATACAAAAGACTTATTTATTTATTTATTTTGCTTTTTTGAGACAGGGTTTCTCTGTGCAACTTTGGAACCTGTCCTGGCACTCACTCTATAGGCCAGGCTGGCCTTGAACTCACAGAGATCCGCTTGCCTCTGCCTCCCAAGTGCTGGGATTAAAGGTATCTGCCACCACCTCCCTGCAAGACTTCTATTAATATATGTAAACTAGATCATTTAAAGTCATCACTTTGTATTTTCAATCTCCAAACATCTCTTGGCTTAAGGATCAGTTTTAAAATATTCAAAGTCAGGGCTTGAGCTGCAGCTCAGTGGTGAGCACTTGACTAGTGTGGGAAAGCTCTCGGTTGATTCCAAGTACCACCATTAATTCAGTCAGACATGGCTGCCCCAGGGCTGCACATGCCCACTGCTCACAGACAAAAGGAACAAAGGATGGGGAAACCAGAGAGGCCTACCCACATCCTTAACACACACTGAGAGCCAGGCAGTATGTGTAAAGGTGGTCCTCCAAAGATCAGCATTAACCAAGTTCTTGCGCCAAGTGTATTTAACCAGCTCCTATGGTGGAGTTAGCAAAGGACTTTGCCTCTTATAGAGAACCACCTGTATTTGAAGTCTTATTGTTTGTTTATGTGGACATATGTGTGCCTGAGTATATTCAAGAGTACCATGTGCATGCAGTGTCTGCAGAAACCAGAAAAGGACAGGGGATCCCCTGGAACTGAAGTTATAGGTAGCCGTGAGCTGTCCAGTGTGGCTGATGGCCTCAGAACCCAGGTCCTCTATGAGAACAGCAAGTGTTTGTAAGCACAAAGCTGTCTCTCCAGCCTTTCTACCTGTAAGTCTTGGAAAGCAAGACTCAATTCAGGAGCGCCTATGACTGGATTTCATGCTCTGGAATTGGTTGGTTTTCCTGCTCTGAACTGAAGTAAATTATGGATCTAATGGGATTCAGGAGACAGCTCTTTTTTTTTGACCAATTGTCAAGGGTCTTCAGAGGATTCAGAGGGGGAGGAAGGTCAACCTAACAGGCAATTGTTCCTAATCTAAGGAGAAATGTCTCACATGCAGATTTTCATCTGTGGGAAAAGCACAGAGGGAATTGGAATGAGATCACATCAGAAAAGCTCCTATCTGGGTGGCCCTGAGGGACAGGGAACAACCCACTTGCGGAGGTGGAAGGGAGGGCATGAGCACAGACACATAGAAGCAGATGTGCAGAGACGGAAGGACCCAATGAGTGTCGGACCAACCGGAAGAGGACCTGGACACAGGACCACCTTCCCCGAGAGAGCTCTACTGGGGAGAAGTCTTGGTGGATGTAAAATGAGACCCTCAGAATGAAGTGGCCAAGGGACCTCTACCAACACTCTAAACAAGCGAAAGTGTCACATACACAGGTCTGCTCCACTCCACTCTGCTCCAGCTTCTGAGAAGGTTGTTACTTCTCTGCCCTGCTCTACTCTTGACCCAAACCTCATTCAAGAGACTTATTGGGAGGGAGGACGTCAGGAGGGTGGTTGCCTCTGACAGGGTGGAAAAAGGCAGCTCCCAACTGAACAGGCACGGGGCTTATATAGGGCTTCTTAGGAGGCGGGGTTTTTCCAGAGTGAAGATTTCCAGGATGGGAATTGGTCGGATTTCAATCTCTGAGCTGGGACAAGCTCAGAGATGGGCTGGATTTCATGCTCAGGGACTGGTTGGTTTTTCTGTTCAGGATTGATTGGTTTCATACTGAGTTGGTCAGGGCCAAAGTGTGTTTCTTTCACCAGCCTTTGTAACCTTTTGGCTCTGGTTTCAAGGCCAGGTTGTGTTTCTTTGGCTGGCCCTTTGAACCTGTACTTTCCATGGAAATAGACCATGCTCTGGCCTTCACGTTTACGTCTGCCATCTTAATACATTTAGGACTTTAGACATTCCTAAACTCAGCCTAAAGACCAACTGTAAAAAGAGATGTTGTATTTCATACATGTCTTTGATTTGTGTGATCATCAAGAGAGACAGTGAACACAAAATAGCATTCTCTACTTCCTTAAGTCATGACAGCATTGTGAATGCCCCCCCTCAAATGTTATTTTCATTCTATTATTGCTACTATGTAAGAGTTGTGGAGACCAGGGAATGCTTCTTTTTCTGCACTAAGAACACAGAAATGATTTTTTTTCATAAAGCTGTTTCATGAATGAACGAGTACATGTGTGGATAATATCCAGAATCCTCACACAAAACAATAAAAATCAATCTTTCTAGCTGTGCTGGAAGCTTGTTGATTGCTATTTGATTCTTGGGGTGCTTAGCCTATGGAGAGCTCTGAGTTAGCTGCAATCAGTTGGTGTCGTGGTACAGAAGGAAGCCTGTGAAGGTGCTGTCATTGACGTTATCTGCATAGAGTCCACTGTAATCCCCCTGCCCCTCCCCATACACCTGGAGCCAGACTTGGTCGCCCACCTCCAGATGGAGCAGCACAGAGCCAGAGGCTTGGTCCACGTTCTTTTCCTGATACTGGTCGAAGGTGAAGAGAACAGGCTTGTCCTTCTTGAAGAGGCTCACCTTCACATCCTTCAAGTACACTGTGATATGGTAGGAGAAGTAGTAGACCCCTGGGATATTGCAGTAGAATTTTCCAGTGCTGGCATCATAGTGATTCTGTTGGTTGTAGAAGATCTTAGTAAAGATGATGGGAACGCTGGGGACGGTGACTCTGGTCTCCAGCCCCACGCTGAATGCTGAGCGATACACATAAGCGCTTTCTCCCGGCTCTCCTTTCCTACCAGGGATTCCGGGAAAGCCTCGGGGCCCTTCAGCTCCGGTCACTCCAGCATCTCCTGTCTCACCCTTGGGACCAAGAAGACCTGGAAAGTGAGAAGAACTGTGACTGCTGGGAACAGAGCTGCCCAGGATGTTCCCAGGACCTCCACCCATAATCACTTGGCAGGACAAGGAACGATGTCATCTCCACTCTGCACATCCTCCACAGCCTGGTGGGTACCCATAAGTTCATCTCCAACCTTAGTTTTTAAAGTTATGAGTGAATGAAAAGATGAGTGAGCACATTGATTGATGTTTAGAACTCCCATGCTAGATAATACATCCTAGTTCATTGTTCTTTGCGTGATTTGGCATGGTAGAGGCTCAGAGTTAGTAGTAGTCAGTTGGGGCCAGTAGATGCTCTGATCATGATGTAGCTATTTACTTATTCATCTATTCATTCCTTCATCTCAGACCTTTCCATATCCCCCATAGCACAGTAGGTTTCCAGAAATTCATCTCCTGTCAATATTTACCGTCGTTAATTTGCCCTACCAGGCCTTTGCGCGCTGGCTAACCACACATGTGTTGCCTTCTATATCCCCTCTGATCAGATGTCCTCTCTCATCTAATCTCTGGAGCATCCTTCGAGGGTATGGCTCAAACCAGCCTCCTCCTCACAGCTGATCGTTAATCTCCATCATCACTGGATGCACTTTTTCTGTATTCCATGCCTTCAGCGTTTGCACATATTCAGACTGGCATGTTGTGTGTTGGAAGGCACTTGGTCCTCGCAACCACTACCAGAGTCTTGTACATTAGACTTGTCTTCTTGACCAAACCAAGCATTCTCTAAAAGCTACTGAGTGCTCCAGGAGTGCACAAAAAGTGTGGGTAAATGCCAATGGATAGAACAAGAATTAGAGGGGAAACAAAATGCCACTACAGGAAATAAGAAGAGGAATATATTGGGAATATGGACAAGGGTAGGCAGAGGGAAGGAGAAGCAGACAGAAGGGAGTCGTGGATACCTCAGTAGGTACCACCTAGTCTCTCACTCACAGAGGACAACTCAAGCTCCAAGATGCTTATGAACCACATAAAAAGGTTTTGCTTCTTGCCCATGTCTAGGTCTTGGTAACTGGTATCACATACTCTGCAAAGTCCCCCCTGCCCAGGACTCTTCTCCACACCTGCATCTCCTTTCTCGCCCTTCTCGCCAGCAGCGCCATCTCTGCCATCACGACCGGGTGTCCCATTGTGGCCAGGATGTCCTGGGATGCCTGCCATCCAACCTGCACAAGTCTCCTTGGGTGGAGGGATCACGACTTCTTCAGTTGTAATCTCGGCATGGCTGGGCAGGGCTAAAAGCAGCAGGGCAACTTGCAGCAGCAGCAGCATCCTGAGCCCTGGAATCAACAAGTGCATAGCCATGGAAAAAGCAGACCCACACATTGCATCAAATTAGGGCCTGCATCATGTTCCATCCATCTTAGTGGAGTCTACTCCAGAGATCTGCAGTTTTAATTCTCACCTCTCCCCGAAGGCCTTCGGTGGCTACTCTAGTCCTCACATCTCCTGGAATGCCTTCAGTGACTGTCTCAGTCCTTACACTCCCAGAAGGCCTTCACTTACACACCCTGCTCTGCAACTGTCAATGCATAGTACAATCTCCTGCACATAGTCTCTCTTTTAGCTGCCAGATTGTAAATTCACAGCCAGCAGGGGTGATCTGCTTTTGGTCCCCCCCCCCATCCTGCGCACAGAGAACCTTCCAAGATCCCGTCCTGGGTTTTTCTGGTTGTTCCATTCAACTCTCAACAACTTCTCACTACCTGGTGCCTCTTCTCTCCTCCCTCGTTTTCATATACTCATGCACACGTGTGAGCACTTGTGTGCATGCACACACACACTCACACACAAACTCCAAAGAGTCTGCTTATTCTTTTAAAAGGCAGAGATTGTTCTTCACCTGAAACACTTCTCCTGTTTCAGCTTTGTCATTTTCTGGTGCTTATAATCATCATGCGTGGCCAGCCCACCAAGTGGATATGAACAAGATATGTGTAATTGTTTCTCTGCTAATTTTTTAGCTTATTTCTACTTCAAAATATTTATGCTTTGCAACAAATTTTCTCATATATTGATTTAAAAATAATATTGGAATGTCCTTAGGCAGACAGATTTTCTATTATGATATGTTCCCAGATACAAATTATTGGGCCTATAAATATAATCTTTTGTCCTTTTGGTTTTTTGAGACAGGCTTTATCTGTGTAGCCCTGGCTGTCCTAGAACTCACTCTGCAGACCAGGCTGACCTCAGACTCAAAGATCTGCCTGCCTCTGCCTCCCAAGTAATTGCAGGAACTAAAGGCATGCGCCTCTATGCCCACCTTAACTTTTTTTAAAGGCTTGCTTTATTCTTTTGTGCACTGTGTGTATGAGACATGTGTACGTGCCCTCATAGGCCAGAAGGGAGCATCAGATCCCCTGGAATGAGTGATGGATGGTTATGAGCCACCACATAGGTACAGGAAACCAAACCGGAGCCCTCTGGGAAGGCAACAAGTACAAGGTCTTAACCACTGAGCCACTTCTCCAGCCCACCTAAACACTTTAAAGTCTTCAAAAGATGTATTGGTTTTTATTTTCATTTGTGTGTGTGTATGTGTGTGCTACATGTGTACAAGAGCCTGAGGAGACCAGAAGAGGGTGTCAGATCCTCTAGAGATGGAGTCACAGGCAGTTGTAAACTGCCCACCCTCAGTTCTGGGAACTGATTTCAGGTCCCCTTTAAGAGTGGCATGTTCTCTAAACCACTGAACTCTCTCGCCAACCCCCTTTTTATTTCTATTTTTATTCGTACTATTCTTTTTATTTATTTAATTTAAAAACAATCTTATTTTACATACCAATTTCATATCCCTCTCCCTCCCATCCTCCCATTCCCCCCACGGACCTCCCCATCCACTCCCCAGGGAAGGTGAGACCTTCCATGACCAAGCCCCTTTCAAAAATCTTTTAATACACACCAACATTATAAGATGCCATGCTAGCCGGGCGGTGGTGGCGCACGCCTTTAATCCCAGCACTCAGGAGGAGAGGCAGGCGGATCTCTGTGAGTTCGAGGCCAGCCTGCTCTACAAGAGCTAGTTCCAGGACAGCCTCCAAAGCCACAGAGAAACCCTGTCTCGAAAAACAAAAAACAAACAAAAAAAAAAGACTGTCAAAAAAAACAAAACAAAACACAACAAAACAAAAACTTATATGCTGACACAGAGTCTTAGCATGTACTCAAATTGGCCTCGAGTTCAGGACACTCCTCTGGCCTCAGTCTCCACCAGATTGGGATTGTATGGGTGTACCAGCATGCCCAGCTCATATAACGTTTGTTTGCTTTTGTTTGGAGGTGGTTTTTCACCCTCTGCAGTGCTGATACTCAAACTCAGGGCATAAACTATGCTAGGCAACTTCTCTCTACTTAGCTGCACCCCAGCCCCTGTCAAGGTCCCTTCCACCACCTTGTGCGAGCTTGTGCCACTGTGTGACTTCTTCTCTAGTGTGCCAATCATCCTTCTCTTTGTTTGTCCTCATTTTCAGATTACAGATATCGTAGAATTGATGTAACCAGCTCTGTTGATCCTTTCTTTGCTTCTGAACATTAAACAATTCTTCACCACCCCTAGCCCCCCACCTCCCGCTACCAACCCCACTCTCAACCCCGGAGCTGAGGACCGAACCCAGGGCCTTGCGCTTGCTAGGCAAACCTTCTGCCTCTTAGCTAAGCCCCCAGCCCCATTAAACAGTTCTTATCACAGTGAATGTTCCATTTTCTTTCTGTTTTTCTTTTCACTCTCTATTTAAAAGATCATTCTTTAGTTTATCTGTGATTTTTTTAATGTTGCTGTAACTGTGGTGTAATTTTAAATGCCTTTGACTAAATTGATCTTTCCACTGTCTATTGCTCAGATGCATCATTCACTAAATATCCACTTCTAGTATAACTGTGTATATGAATTGACACTGGCAGGTGTGAGGTGGGCAGAGACATTGCCTGAATGAGTGCTGCTCCTGGAGACATCAGTCTGCCCCAGGCTGCCTCAGAGTCTCCGTGTGCCTTTGTCGCCATCTACTGAACCTGGACAGCTCAGGGGCACAGTCTCAACAACTACTGAACCTGGACAGCTCAGGGGCACAGTCTCAACAACTACTGAACCTGGACAGCTCAGGGGCACAGTCTCAACAACTACTGAACCTGGACAGCTCAGGGCCACAGTCTCAACAACTGCTACAGTAAAGTGAAGCAGGCAGAGCTTAGGTTTGGCAACTCCCTAGAGCAAAAGGGGCGAGTTAGAGAAGACCAGAGGAAAGTTCCCAAGTGCCCCTCTTGGATTTAGGGAGAATGCTTGTCCTGAAACTTTTTTTATCACCGTCAGTCAGTCAGGCCGGTGGGTCGGTTGATTGATCAGCCTGTGGGCTGCTAGTAGTTGGCTGGTTGGCTGGTTGATTGGTTGTTTAGTGTGTGTGTGTGTGTGTGTGTGTGTGTGTGTGTGTGTGTGAGTGTGTGTGTGTGTGTGAGTGAGTGTGTGTGTGTGTGTGTGCCTGTGGGTCACTTCTTTCCTTCTATCAATGGGGTCCTGGGGAATGAACTCGGGTCATTAGCTTCAGCAGCTAATCTCACTGGCCCTTGCTCTGAGGCTTTAAAGATGCTGTCTGTCTTCTGTGGTTTGCTCCCTTTCTTCGTACAGCCTCAGCAACCACACTCCTGAGAACTTCAGCTCTGCTCTCCCCCAGATATGAAGAAGGAGGAGTCTATGACACAGCAAACCTTTCCACAGGGAAGCAAGGAATCCAGAATGTGTGAAGTAATGCAAACAGCTAAGGAGGATCCCCGGGGTTAAAGGATGACTCAGGACTTACCACAAATGCTGGGAAGGAAGGCAAAGACAGACCCCCTAGAGTTTTCGGGTTCTCCCTTTCACTGAAAAAATCAACATCCTTTCTCGCCTAAAAGAACGCATTCTTCCCCAAGACCTGTGTTCCCAACACTTCTCTACGTAGTTCTGAGATCCCCAAGAGTGGCATGGGGTGGAGGCGCTAAACAGTACATAACCTCAGCTGTTGTTTTTTTTAAGATTTATTTTTTAAATTATTTGAATATGTATTGGGGTGTGACCTGTGTCCAGGCACCCTTGGAGGGCAGAAGGCATTGGATCCCCTGGAACTGGAGTCAACCCAGTTGTGAACTGGGCCCTTTGTAAGATGTCCTCTGCATGTGTGTTAACTGCTGGTCTATCTCTCCAGCCCCTGGGCATTAGCTAAGGACGGATCCTAACTGCAGAAGACTTCATTTCTGTCTAATTCTGGATGGAAAGTTAGCCATGGGTAATCACTGAAGGACACAGAATACATCATTTTTTAATTCAAAATTATTTCTGTTCTTAGACAAAGCAATTGTTACACTTTGATTTTGAAAGACATCTGTTTATATAGGGGAAACACTTGAATGGAACTGAATACTGGACATAATCTGTATGAGGACAGCATGCCCCAAACAAAACATTGTAGATAGGTCGTGAGTTTTGGATCATGAAGCCAGAGGGCAAGAGCCGTGTATATAATGGCTATACATTGAGAAAATCTTGGTCTCATCATCTCCTAATCATCACAGTCATTTTGGAGACAATATGGGTACTCAAGGAAAATGTGCTTGGGTACAAATAATCAACAAACAACCAGTTCTCACCCTTATGTATTTGCTGAAGACTAAATGACACAATGGACAAACCAGGCTCATCAGAGTGTCTGGAGTAAGCTGGTGAGCAATGTCAGTTATGTTTGTATTGATTTGGGGGTGAAGAGAGGGAGCTGCTGAGTGGTTAGGTGATAGTCTCAGATGCCAAAACTAAACACAGAAGAGGTGGAAGTCAAGTCCTGACCTAATAACAGACTCCCTGACACAATCGAGGAAAAGTACTAAAGTGCATGCCCTGCCTTTTAGTATCCCTCCCCCATGGGGTGTGGGAGATGAGTGACAGAAGATTGTGAATCAAGTGACCTGGTTTCTCAGCGAGCCCCCTCCTCATCCTGCCCCCATTTGCCTCCCTGGCTTTATGCTCTTTGCCTGGAAGTGTGATTTCACAATATGATCATGAGAACCAGTTGGCAGAAAGCATGGAGTATCTTATAAACTTATAAACTGTGAGAGAAGGGAAACAAACAAGCATATATGGGTGACCCTCTCTGGACTTCTGGGTGCCAGAAAGACTCAGTCATTTCTACCTAAGCATAAGAAGTAAACGAGGTAGAACCAGACCACCACACTGGCCTTCCCTAAAGTTGCCTCTCTGGCAGACCCCACTGGAATTATCCAAAGGAATGGCTACAATATTCCAGGGAGCCTAAAGGACCATAGTATAGTGAAGTAAATGTGAAATTCCACTTTGACCTACTGGCATTTCAGCAGCAACAGCAACGTCTTGTGAAATGAAAGCCTGGCGTTTCCTCTGGGACCAGCAGAGATGGCTACATTGAGAGAAGAGGTCACTATTATGATCTCAATGCCTGCAGCCAGCAAAGGCCACAAAGCACACAAGAAATGCCCCAGGGATTCCCGCCCCATCATTGCTTTTAGAAGAAGAAAGGCTGAGCGTGCACATCCTACATCCTCATGGAATGGTTCCAGGCAAGAAGCCTTGACTTGTTGGTTATTTTCACCTTCATGAAACTCCAAGGAGGGAACATGACTGCACAAGAGACAAGGAAGTTAAGAGAGCAGGGGACACTAGGTGGTACCTGCCCCCTGACCCCACCCCAACCCCCCCACCTCCACCCCACCCCCCCACCCCCTGCCCCGCAAGTGCTGGCTGCCAAATGAGCCTGGAGAGATTTCTGACTTACAAACTATCATGGCTTACACCCTTGCCTTAAAATTACCCACAGGGCTTGGGCCCAGTGTCCTAACGTGCTCAGTGAGCTCATGTGAAATGAGGGACTTGAGTACACTTTGATTTTGGTGACAATTCTGTGGAGTAGCATTTGCATAAGGTACTTCTTTTTGGTTTTGTTTCATGAAACGGGATCTCCTGTGTACCCTGGCTGTCCTGGAACTCACTCGGTAGACCAAACTTGCCTTGATCCACCTGCCTCTATCTCCTGAACGTTTAAAGGTGTGCGCCATCACACCCAGTACTAAGTACTTTTGGAATTTATCTCATTTAACCCTCCTGTACCCTTACTTCCCACTGTGCTAAGCAGGAGAGGCTGAGACTTGAAGACGCCAAGATGCCAGCTCAAGATCATGCAATCTTAGCCAGATGGTGGAGACACACACCTTTAATCCCAGCACTCAGGAGGCAGGGGCAGGTGGATCTCTGAGTTCAAGGTCAGTCTGATCTACAGAGTGAGTTTCAGGACAGTCACAGGTCTTACACAGAGAAACTCTGTCTCAAAAACAAAAACAAAGAGATCATGCAGTCTTTTTTGAATGACATGAAATAGCCATTCTTAAAACTCAAAATGGAGTCAGGTAGTGTTGATGCATGCCTTTAATCCCAGCACTTGGGAGGCAGAGAGGCAGGAGGATCTCTGTGAGTTTGAGGCCTAGAGCCATTACTTAGTATGTGTAAAACCCTAAGTTTAATCCTCAATACCACAAAAAATAAGTAATAAAAACATAAGATAGGTTAATATTGTCAATTTTACAATGATGAAACCAGGAGCTGAGTTACCTTGGTGTAACGCCTACATTATCTGTAAGTTTTCACTTGTCCTTAGGAGAGCTGTTTGCATTCATTCTCCTGTCCTTACACACATGTGCACACATACATGCACACATGCACACTCTCAAGAAACTGGAAAAGCAGAGCATCCCTCCATGAAGATTTTAGGATGAGTTCCTAATTAAAGCTTTAGTTTTCCATATGTATCTCCTCCTAACTTCATCAGAGTACATAAGGGCTACTAGTCTCCTGGGTCAATAAGTAAATTGAATATTTGTCTCTGTAACCTCTTTTTAAAAAGGCAAAAATTAGGGTACAGAAAAATGTCTCAGTATAAGCACTTCCTGGGCAAGAATGACAGCCTGACTTCAATCCCCAAAACACATAAAAAAGAAAAAAAAGATGTGATGGCACACATCTGTAACCACGGCACTCCTAAGGCTGAAGGTAAGTGAGACAGGAGAATCATCCCAAAGTTCATGGACCAGAGCGGAAGAATCAGCAAGAGGGAACTGCTTCAAACAAAGTTGGAGAAGAGAACTGACTTCCAAAGTTGTCCCCTGACCTTCACATGCCTGGCGTAGAACATGTATACCTGTATACACGTGACACAGGTGCATACACGCGCACACACACACACACACACACACACACACACACACACACACACACACACAAATACTTTTTAGGAGATGAAGTGGATAGAGTCTTTTCTGTGCCAGCATGGGGACCCCCAAGTTTTGATACCTAGAATTCATGTCAAAACCTGTCACCTTTAACCCCCACCACTGGGTTGGGGGTGGGGTGACAGAGACAGGAGCCTCTCTGGAGGACAATGACAGGTGAGTCTAGCCTTCTTCATCGAGTTCCAAGTTCAGTAAGAGACCTTGTTTCTCTTGTCAGAAAATAAGGTGGAGGTTAAGAAAAACACCTCTGGGGCTGGAGAGATGACTCAGAGGTTAAGAGCACTAACTGTTCTTCCAAAGGTCCTGAGTTCAATTCCCAGCAACCACATGGTGGCTCACAACCATCTGCAATTCAATCTGGTGCCCTCTTCTGGCATGTAGGCAAAACACTCTATATGTAATAAATAAATAAATCTTAAAAAAAAAGAAAGAAAAACACCTCTGGCTTCTGTGTGCACATAGGTAGATGGCCTGTGTACAAGACAAGAAGTAAGCTATATCTCTTCTTAGGATTCCTCAAGACAGGGGGAAGGGGGCAGCAAGGGTCTCTTACTATGCTTTGGAAACCAAACTGCTCTAAGAAGCAGGCTACACTCCGGCCTCTTCTGCTAGCCCTCTTGCTCTCAAAATCTATCAGACCAAACGACCTGCCCTTACTTTTAACAGAGTCACAGTGAGATGGCTGGACTCTTGTGAGGCTCGATTCAAAGCAACAGTTCTCAGCATACTTGGAGGCAGTGAGGCAGGTGGATGGTGGTTTGGTGACAGCCTGGTCTTTGAAGTGAATTCCAGGCTAGTCAGGGATATCTAGTGAGATCCTATCCAAAAAAAAAAAAAGACCAGACGTTGGTAGCACACACCTTTAATCCCAGAACTTGGGAGGCAGAGGCAGGCATGGGGTATCTCTGTGAGTTCCAGGCCAGCCTGGTCTACAGAACAAGTGCCAGGATAGGTTCCGAAGCCACACAGAGAAACCCTGTCTCAGGGGAAAAAACTAAAAACAAGACAAACAAAAATTCTCCAGATGAGGGACTTACATCTCTTGATGCACAAGAGACTGCCTTGACTTCCCAACCCTCCCTCCTTCTCCTTGTCTACCACCCAGGCTCCTACGTGGTGTTCATTGGGACAAGATAGCAAAGACCAAGCAGGCCCAATGCTTCTGTCAGGAAATATCTTTCAAAACATGGCTTTCTGTCCAGATTGCCACTCTATTCCAGGCTCTTACCCTTCTGTGTCACCCAACTCCCTCAAGCATCCTAAACTGTGTCTATGCTGACATGTCCCCAGTTCTTCAGACAACAGCCAGACCACACCCATTCCCCCTCAGCCCTGACAGTATTCTACAGCATCTACTGTGCGAATATCTACTGATTAAAGCTAAGTGGTAGAAATGGATTCTAAACTCATGGCATCACACTTGGCTTCCCCAAGCTGCCTCTGCCCGCTTCTTCTGTCATCTTAACTCACAAAGCTGAGAGGTAATAGATCCCTTTTCCCAGCTGAATTTCATCTGTGGATGAACTCTCCCACCTCACCAACTCCAAGTTGTTTTCTCAGTGAGAATCTTGCTCTCAAATAGACAAAGCAAAGTTCACGATGGTCCCAAGCATGTGGACCAGGGGAGGTAATTCTTTCTCTCTTAGAACTTTGAAGAACTGAAGAAGAGCCCAGTGCCTATCTGGCCCAACCCATGCCTCCTTGATCTGAGTTTCCTCTACATCCATCCTCACACAACTGCAGAGAGAAAACCCTAAACACATCCCTGCCAGGATTGGATGTTTATACCCATCCAGCCAGGACTGGGCATTTATACCCAGCCAGCCAGGATTGGGTGTTTATACCCATCCAGCCAGGATTTAGCAGAATTGTTCTTACCTTCTGGTGTAGTTAGATCTACTGGTTACTGTATAGATGAAAATGAGGAGAAAGTGGCCTGGCCTTATGAGTAAGTATGGTACTCATGGGGACAGGCAGTCCCCCATCTCACCATTGGCCAGCCCTGTGAGGGATAGTAGCCAATGAGCTGGCCTCCTGCCTCTGGCAGCTGCCTTAAGTCTCCACCCTAGGGAACCTGGTTTAATACAGCTCGAGTCTGGGAAGCCAAGTAGAGCTACAGTCAAGCCATCGTGTTCCCAGGCTTTGGCCATACTCTGCCAGAGCAACAGATGGGACAAGGGTAAAGACAACAATAAAAACAAGATGTTTCTGAATGTAATGAGAAATGTCCTAAAGCTAAAATGAATCGTTCAGTGATCAGGAGACCTCCCTCTCCCATAAGTTTGCCTTGGAAAGTCAACGACACTAATTTGCACATCGTACTCCTTCTCATTGTGTGGAACTAAATGTGAGGTTATGTGGTTCAGACATCAACATTTCAGCAAGAACACAGAGGGACTGCACCAGGGCAAGAAATAGAAGGCATCCTCTACTCTCTGACCTGGATCCCATATTGACTTTCCTAATGTTGCAACCCTTTAATACAGTTCTCCATGTTGTGGTGACCCCCAACCATAAAATTATTTTCATTGCTACTTTATTTTTTTATTTATTTATTTTTCAGTTTAAATTTAGATTAGAAACAAGGTTGCTTCACAAGTCAGTTCCAGGTCCCTCTCCCTTTCCCTCCCCTCCTCCCGTGCCCTCCCCCCCAGCCCCCCATTATCCCCTCATTTCCCCAGGAAGGGTGAAGCCCTCCATGGGGGTGTCCATAGTCTGTCATTTCATACAGGGCAAGGCCTAGACCCTCCCCCCAAGAGTTCAGGGTGAGAGTGCATCTCACATTGTTGGATGGGAGTCCAAAGTCCTTGTGTATACTCGGGATGAGTACTGATCTACTGCCCAAGGCTCAATAGATTACCTAGGCCTCCTCACTGACACCCACATTCAGGGGGTCTTGATCACTGTAATTTTGCTACTGTTATGAATCCTAATGTAAATATCTGATGTTTCTGATGATCTTAGGTGACCCCTGTTAAAGGGGCCTTCAACCCATAAAGGGGTCCTGACCCACACTTTGAGAAATGCTGAGGTATACGACTTCTGAGTGCTGAGGAAAGTTCCTGATGTGGTGTGGGGCCAGATCAAGGCCATTAGCAGTTCCAAATTCCAAGAGCCATGGTCCCCACACAATTCAAGCCTGATATCACAGAAAGCTTACATTGACATCAGAGCACTATCTTTTAAGATTTCCTGGTTCCAAATGTCAGAATAATGTTTGAAAATTAACTTTCTGTGTATTGATAAAGCTCACTTTTCCAGTCCCTTGAGTATACAGCTCCTGTGTCTATTGGGAAGAGAGCAACCTGTGTACTAGTAGTCATGGCCCGCTAAGCTATTCCTAGAGGGTTTGAGGTTGGAAAGCCAACACCTTGGGATCTCTCCACAAATCCATGCCTTAGTTTTGAAAGACCAAGGCTGCTTCTCAGGAGCTCAAATCTGATTAATTGAATCATGATTCCAGAAGGAGATCTAGATGCCAGCAGCAGCATCCGTAAGACCTCCAGAAATAGAATTCTCCCAGGCACAGGCTGGGCAAGTGTCTGCTGCCACCAACTATAACCTTCCCCTGGCCACACAGAGCCTAAGAGTCTTGCCTTTACTGGGGATGGGACAACATTATCAAGCCCACCAAGAAAGAAAAGTCCAAGTATGCTCTTCCATCTTGTCTTCCTATTAACATACAGATGTTTAAGAGTAAGAGAAACATACCCAAGGCATGAAGCTGGATCTCTCTGACTGCAAAGGGTATATGTTTTCTAATGCCTCATGGTCTTCACCTCTCCTCATTTATATACTCCAGGGTAGCCTTGGACACCTGCCCCTTCCCATATAGGAACACTGCTGATTTCAGCAGATTCTAACTATTGCACAAGACGGTGTAACTTTCACCCCAAAACTACACCAATACTGCAGTGTGAAAGCCTGTCACTGCATGAGTTCTCAGGAGACTCTGCCTCCCACCACAGAGGGCATTATGTGGAAACAAATGCTCGCTTAGAGACTAGAAGGGAAAAACATTAAACCGCACATGTCCTGAGGCTAGCTTTTCTTAGGACAGATGTGTTACTGCCCAGAATGAAATAGCCACAGAAATTTGATGGTTTCCTTTGGGTGCTCACGTCCACAATTCAAGCCTTTGTATCCCTGTGAAGTAAGATACTTAAGCAAAAGGCAGATGACCGTTTCCTTACATGTGGCTAAATTTTGCTGTGTATTACTGCTTACTTGCGACTTTTTAAAATTTTTACTGGAGTAATTAAACATAAAATCATATTTTGAGACATAATACTGTGGATGAGTGGGTCTATCCTGCAACATCCCAAATCCTTGGACATTCAAGAACAACAAAAAAAAAAGAGAACGTCGTCGTCTTAGAAGAATAACTCAGTGGTAGAGCGGTATGGTGACCACAGAGCTCTATTCCTGGTGCCAGGAAAGAAAAGTAAAATAAAATAAAATAACAGCCTATGTGTTATCCTTAGACATAGCCACAGTCGTTCTTCATGCAAGGCAGCGCTGATGGGAACGGAGGTATCTGTGTCAGCAGTGACCTGGCCGGCAGCCACTTGCTTCTACTGCTAGACTACTGCTGACTCGGGCCTGCATGGTTAAATGGGCACACAGGCTCATAGCTGAAACTCCATGTCCTTGGAACACTCGTTTGTATTTTAGTTTTTTAAGTTTTCGTACAAGTGTAAATTCCCTTTCGTGCCTCCCCACCCTCCCTTTCCTCATCCCTCCCCCTTCCCACTTGTACTCTTTTTCCCCTAGACACTCTCACTTGTCTTTTCATTCTATATATTCATACAGGACTTTAGGTAAGTTTACAAAATCCGGGAACCACAGATAAGGGAACACACATACAATTTGTCTCTCTGAAACTGGCTCCAGTCACTCATCATACGTATCTTCAGTTATACACATTTTCCTACACCCAACATAACCTGTTTTTTTTTTCAGCTGAAAATAAATTGCATTGAGCCTATATCATATTTTCTTTAAGCAGTTTCTATCGCTGGGCACCTGAAAATCAGTTCCCTAGAACAGAGCTGCGGTAAACCCAAGGGCGCAACCTCTGCTGACCTGGGTTAACACCCAGCAGTAGTAGAGCCAGGTTTTGTAAGGTAGTTCTAGTTTTCATTTTTTGAGAACTCCCAGATGGATTTTGATAGAGGCTAGACTAGCTTTTGTTCCCACCAGCTGTGTATCAGGTTCCTATCGGTCTGCATCCTTGACAATTCATTGGTATTTGTTTTCTTATGAAAGGTTTTGTGACTGGGATAACATGGAATCACAACAAGGTTTTGATTTGCGTTTCTCTGATTAGTGTGTTAGATAGAGTCATTTGGGAAGAGAGCCTCAATTGAGGAAAAGCTTCCACCAGATCAACCTGTAGGCAAGCCTGTGGGACTTTTTTCTTGAATGAGATGGGAAAACCCAGCCCATTGTGGGTGGTATTAACCTCTAGACAGATGCTCATGGATGGCATAAAAGAACAGGCTGGTAGCCAGGCAGTGGTGGCACACTCCTTAACCCCCAGCACTAAGGAGGCAGAGGAAGGTGGATCTCTATGAGTTCGAAGACAGACTGGTTTACAGAGTAAGTTCCAGGACAGGCTACAAAGCTACAAAGATTGGTCACGGTGTTTTATCACCTCAGTAAAAACCCTAACTATGACAAGTCATATAAAGACAGTGTTCCAGGAGATGGTGGAGAAAGCAGATAAAGACACCAGGGAACCCTGGATAACTCCGCAGAATATTTCTTCCTGTATATCCTGGATGTCACAAGAGGTAGAAATACATTTTTTGTTTGTTTAAGTCATCCCATCATTTGGTCTTTGTTATAGCAGATTAGTCAAACACATAGCATGTGACTTTGAACAAAGGAAAGAAATTTGTATTCCAAGAGTTAGATAAGTAATAGGGATATTTTTTAAGATAAAAGGGTTTTGGTGATCTCAGTGGTTGAGCTTTTGCCTTCTATATGCAAGGCTTGAGCTAGACTTTACCTGAGGAGAAGGCAAGAAAAGAGAAAAATACAGAGAGGAAAGAAGGGGAGGGCAGAGAGGGGAGAAAATTTCTCTGAGCCTGGATAGTTTTTTGTTTATTTGTTAATTTGTTTGTTGTTTTGTATGGTGTGGTATGGTGTAGAGTGGTGTGCGTGGGTGCGTGCGTGCGTGCGTGCGTGCGTGCGTGCGTGTGTGTGTGTGTGTGTGTGTGTGTGTGTGTGTGTTTCCTTAGGGAAATGTAGGCGAAATTGCTGACCTTTTACATTCTCAGGTTAGTTCTGAAAAGCTCTAGAAATGTTAATTTGGCTGGATTTCTCTAAATACCACATAACATATCATTTAGCATTCAGACCACCAAACTACACAAAATTGAGGCCCTTTTTTGTATTCTCTACTTCCTACTGGGAACAGTGAGGCAGCATTAAAAAGCTGCAAGAGGTCTGAATTGTTTTGTTTTGTTTGTTTTTCGAGACAGGGTTTCTCTGCAGCTTTGGAGCCTACTGGGAACTGGCCCTGTAGACCAGGCTGGCATAATAAGCCCCAGACCTTAGCACAACCAACATCATGATGGAAGTACCATTCAGGCCTTGGAGCCCAACACATAGACAGCACCACCTGCCAAAACAAGACCAAAGACCTAATCCATCGAATCCATAGGTCTAACCTTAGTTTTTTGTTTCTGTAGTTCTGCTTCTGGGTAACTGTTCTTGCTAACTGAAGTCTGTCAATCCAGGACATGATTTCTGTGCTTCCAAGCTCACCTTGAGAAAGGCTCAGAACTGAACTCGGGTCTTGTAATCACTGGCCAGCTAATAAAGGCTTCCTATTCCCTTGAACTCATGCCTGAGCTGTTCTGTGCTGACTCACAACAGAATAATTCTTCCAAAGGTTTTAAGAGACTTGCATCTCACTTTCCTGTCTCAGTTTTTCATTTAAACAAACAGAAAAATGGCAAGACTTTTACTCACAGAGAGTCATCTTTTCATTTTACAAAC